GTGAGGTTCAGTATGCTTTCTAGTGCAGGAGCCTAGGGGGTTAGGGTTAATAGTGTCTTGTTTTTAGTAAGAATAATCATGTTTTGGGGGTACAGATAAGAAGACAAATTGCAGAATCAGATGTCACTTTGACTGATTGATGGTTGAACCTTTCATGTATTTACAAATCACTGATACGAGACTTCAGTGCAATGGAAGCTGATATGAGAATTGTTTTGGTATTCATTGTCAATCTTAAGTTTCGTAGCTGTAACATGTAATTTCCAAATTGTGTGAGAGATTTGTTGACAAAGTGAGACATACACGTAGATCTACCTCAGAGGCATACACACAATGGACAGGTGGACATTAACAAAGTTATACATCTGTAAAATATATACATCAGAGTGTCATAACTGTTATCACACAAATGAAATGTTTAATTTGTTCTTGTAGCCCCATGTTCGCATCTGGGACTCGGTCAACCTGAACACACTGCATGTCCTGGGTCTTGGCTTCTTTGACAGAGCTGTATGCTGCGTGGGATTCTCCAAGCATGTAGGTTTCTGTACCATTTATACTCTTTCACTGGAACTACCTGAAGAGCTGGAAATCAAACCTTTTGGGATAAAATTGCTCTTAGATTATGCCGGATATACAGAGTGCTACTGTTGGTTAGTTAGCTTGACAAAGAAATGCCAAAATGCTTTGATGGATTTAGAAGGCATGACCAACTCCAAAAGGAGCATTCAAAGAGCACAAGGAAAAAGATAAAGGAGCCGCAGTGAACATTTCAAGAGCAAGCATGAGGTCATTAAATTTATTTGATAGAAAAACATCTACCGGTAGGTATTGCCACTAAGGGATAATTCATCTGTTGTTGCCGTGGGTATGAGGGATCTGGGGACTGGAGGGTAGATGGAATGGTTGGCAGGGGGATGCATGCTCCAACCTTCTGTCCACCCTCATCTGATGTCTTTGAGGTCTCTGCCATTCTCGTCCAGGACAAAGGCACCCAGCTGCTGGCTATTGATGAATCTAATGACCACGTACTGTCAGTCTGGAACTGGGAGAAGGAGAAGAAGCTTGCTGACTGCAAGGTGAGTAGATGGGCAACTTGTCCTTGGATTGGTTGATTTCCACATCTGTTTACTTACCATAAATATTCTGTTACATTTTGAGAAAACCCACTGTGCTTAGCACCTTGCAAAGTTGTGAAGATACATGTACTCTGTTTACGTCTGCCATTATGTGGATTGGTGGAGGGGACTTCCTGGAGCCTATTGATTTGGAATGTCATGGGACTGAAGTATAGTCTAATGAACCAACAAGAGTAGTTTTCTTTCTGTAACTCAAGAGAGACTTGACTCATCGACTTCAAATACTGTATGTTGGAAATTCTTGAGGTTCTGTTGTTTTGCATTATGTGTTTCTGTGGCAAGCAAATTTATTGAGTGTCTTTCAATGAATTCTTTTCCAGAAAGGTTAAGTGTGCAAACTACTGCAAACGTCTTACTGACTAAAGTGACTTGAAATATATAAATCAAGAAGTTGTAGGACCATTGTTCCTTTTTTCACTCCCCAATGGCCTGTCTGGGTAACGGGTATCTGTTTGAATGCCGCCTTCAAAACAACCACGTTTTCTCTGTTGTCATTACTGCAGAGTTCAGGGGACCCGGTTGTGGCTGGGGAGTTCCACCCCCTGATTGAGAATCACATGGTCAGCTGTGGTAAGGGCCACTTACTCTTCTGGACTCTGGAGAACAACAAGCTTACCAAGAAAGCTGGCATCTTTGAGGTGAGTTTGAAACCGTTGTGATGAACATATACACTCTGCAGCAGAAATCGAAAAGAACTAGTTTTAATTAATCCATCCTTGGAAATAAAGAACTAGGTTATTGGTTGCAAGTAGAAGGCCATACGTCTGTGATCGTTTCACCAAAAACTTGTACTTCTTTTTTGGGGTAACTGACAATGTGCGCAAATTGGATGGATCAAGTTAAACATCAAAATGAGCATCTGGTCAATATAAGCATTAAAATAAATTTTTTTTGTTTCCAGAACTAAGGTTTTAATTCTGCTGAAGTTTGAACATCACATTTTATCCTAGGTCTTTTGACAGCTTAGCTTTTGTCCATTGGTTCAGAAAATACTTCTAAAATTATTGCTAGGTTTAAAAAAGGGGAAGTTATCTGCAAGTAACGTATGGATTCAAATCAGAGTATTGGCAATCTTTCAAATTGTCATGAAATTGCTATGCAGAATTCTAATGGTTAGCATTGTATTTGGTCAAAAGGTGGATTTCACATGAAAAGCCTGATTAGTTTCATTCTTGTATCAAATATATTTATGACTCTCACTTAAGTGACTCCTAGTTTAGTGACTGTATTTTCAGCATCTCTTAATTCAACTTGTGATTCTATTCTTTTCCATGTCAACTTCAGTGTTTGTTATTCTGATTGTTTCTGTTTTATGCTTTGCCCTTTAAAAAACAAAAATGGTGCTTTGTGGACTACAGAAGGTATGTCTCTTGTGAAGCAGTTTAGTATTGCTTGCTATCAGCATGCAGCCCATGATTTGGTAACCTGTGTGCACTGTTCATTTAACTCACCCGTCCTGTGCATGGGTCCCTTAAAAAAAACAATGGACTACATGTATACATGCCATGTTTCCTTTAAATTGTTAGTATAACATAATATTGGTTCAGTACTAAAAGGTCATTACGGCAAAATGTAATTTTTGGAAATATGAGTACACATACTTTTAGTGCCTTACTCTGAGCATGAAAGGAATATTGTATTAAAACAGACTACATTTGTTGTATGTTTGTTTATTAACCCTCCCAGTGTTTTAACCGTCAAATATAGTCAAAAATGCAATTGATTTCCCCCAGTACACAGACACGTACGGGAAATTTGACTGATTTTGACTGATATGACAACTAAGTCAAGAATGCATCAAAGCATAGGAGGGTTAAAGTAGTTATCAATTCTTTCTATTTTTAAGTTTCAACAAATTTTCTTGCTTGATTTCATGTTTAAAAATATTTGTCAGCAAGGACCCTTTAATGTAATTTGTCAGTAAGGGCCTTTTAGCACTGACATGACAAATTTTCAGTTTCCAATATTGCTTATAGTACAGCTATTTTTACACATCTGTCATACATCTTGTGCTTTTAGGTTTCAGATAAATGGGTTAGGTGAATCTATTTTAGTTAGAAAATTTCCTGAGCAAGGTAACAGTTTACTCCTCAACCAAGCCCACTTTGGCAATACTGCTGATTCACAGTACAGTGCTCCACAAAGAGGTTGACATGGAAAGGCCTTTTTTTAAACAGAATTGAGGGAAATGGTCAACAAAAGCCATTCCCTGGCTGTGCGTAGGAAACTTGAATTACTTTCAGTGTTTGTCTAGGCAGATTTTTAAGTTGTATTTTGAGTACTCATAGCAGTTTGAATAAATCTTTTCTGTTGCGTGCAATGTCCCAATCTATCCAAAATTTCCTCAAGTTCTCAGATTTTCACTCTCATGCAAATTGTTGCAAGTTTGCCAAATTTTGTGACCATTAACTTGAAAAATGGCCCCTCTGTGGCAACCTCTTGGTGATGAACTCAATTGTGAATCCTCAATATCGTTAAAAATTTTGCAGTTACTTTTACAATACTTTTCCATTTATTTATTTAGTAGTCAAAATATATCTTTGTTTTTGGATGTTCCTCAAGATAATTTTTCATTCCAGTCGTGTTGATTGGTGTGTGTATTTTTTTATATCCTCATCAAAATGTCACTGGCAGTTACAGTGAAAGCCAAACATGCTTGGTATTTGTAGCAACAGGTCACCTTCACCCTGTATTACCAATTGTCATTTTTCTTTAAATCCTCCTCTTGCCTTGAGTATGTGAAACCACATGAAACAATTTGTCTCTCAGCCTGATCGTTTGATGTTAAGTCTTTCTTAAGACTGTTCCCATGAATCAAATATCATTGTACATCACCATGGAAAGGAACCCAATGATTAATCAGATGTGAGAGAAAATGTAAGAGATCAAAGTTTCCCGTAATTGGCAAATTGCTGAACTTACCGGATGAAAACAGTAAACCACTTGATTTCTTGCTGAAGAATTCCTCCTTCCATAAATTGTCATACACTTCTGGGACTGTAACTTTTCAAGTAATCTTTAAAACCTGATTATCTTTGACTTGTAAATCCATTTGTCGCCTAACACAACATAGTCTCTGGTGATTCTGCATTATTGCTATTGAAATATTAGTGTTTGCTTCGTCCGGTTACAGAAACATGAGAAGCCCAGGTTTGTGCTGTGCCTTACCTTTGCTGGCAATGGGGATCTGATCACTGGTGATTCCAATGGGAACATCTTCATTTGGGCCAAAGGTGAGCAAAGGTCTCTCAGAGATTTCAGTTCAGTAACAGCACAAGAAATAGCATTGTTTTATTTTGATAATCTAAATACTTTATGCTGCAAGAAATCAGAAGTTAGTATGGCAAGGCTGTATATCTGCAAGTGTAGGCATCTTAATCACTCTTTTATTAAGCCATTCGTATCTAAAAAAAAGAAAAGAAAACTCAGGCTCATGTTCATAGAATTGCTAAGCACAGAAAATACCTGCTCTACAAGAACAGGTTCCACACCATGCCGTGCAGTCAGAATTTCTTGTAAGACACCCTCCGCTGATTTTCTTTTTTGCTTAGCACATGAGTCTGCTAAGCATTAATTCCTACATAGAAATTTTATGAGATTGCGTGCCAGTGATGCAGTCAGTGATGAGAAGGGAGTTTGTGCCAGTGTGCGTCAGATATAACTATTGTTCTGGTTGTTCTAACTATTGTTCTATTGTTGATTGTGCTTGTGTCTGATCACAGGCAGTAACCGCATCAGCCAGGCCATAAAGGCCCACGATGGCCAGATCTTCTCCCTCGTCATGCTTCCAGATGGAAGGCTGCTGTCTGGGGGTGGCAAAGACAGGAAAGTCAACATCTTTGACACCTCCTACGATGTGACTGTCACACTCGTGGTAAGACCAGGAGGACAAGTAAAAGGAAGAATATACAAGTGCAGTAGCACTGCAACCGAGAGATACTGTTAAGATGTGGCCATACCCATCTCTCTATCCAAGGGCATTTGCCATCAATATTCTCTATGTCCAAATCACCTGGCTGCAGCTGGATGTAAAACAAGCACATGTCAAAGCCACCAGCTATATGGTAGTTTCCAAGGAATTGGGATGCTGGCCTCTTTCACAGATCATTTGTAAGGAAATGTAAGGCCCTTTGGGTAGCTTACTACCATGAGCTATGCATGTACATTCTCTATCAGTGTGTGAACATATAGAAATGTTACCACGGTGACCAGTTATTCAACATCACTCCACTGATGAGGCCCTCTGAAAAGTTAAACACCACTAGACCAATCGCTCAGGAAAGAATGATGCACAAGACTTTGTCTTACGGAGAGGACACCCTCAGGATCTGTTTGGACATCCCTCTGAATTGCTCAAAAATGAGCTTGGTCATAAACTTTACACCTAGGTTTACATTCTATGCTGGGACAAGCTCTATTTATACCAGAATCAAACCAGATTAACATTGACTTGACTAAAATGTATCTGAGAATGAGTTAGAAAGTAATACCATAGCTACTTAAATCAAAGAGAGATTTGACGGACAAATGTTTCAATCTTGGCTGACATCACAAATTGTTTTGTTGTGATGCCTTGTACCTTTAGGACATGATAAGCAATCTAGGGCAGGCACATTGACGGGAGGGGGGATTATGATTTTCATTGCACTATGAACTGAACTATTTTGTTACAAAATAGTAATGATAACTTGTATGGTCCTTCATGCTTGAAACTAGTGTCGTTTAAGAGAGGTTTAAAAGTTACCTGGTATGTGCAATACAAGCATTCTAGCTTCTTAAAACTGTTCATTGCATTTGTCTTTTGCTCAAGTTGCCCGAGTCCACCGGGCCTTGCCGCTGCCTGTGCCCCGGTAAAGACAAGGACATCTACGTGGGCACAACCCGTAATGCCATTCTGCATGGAGATATGGAAGGGGAAACGTTCACCCCGGATGTGGTGGTAAGTCTGCTCAGTACAATCCGTTGTCCATGTCAGTAGGTGGAATGAGGGCCCCGAAGTCGTCTTCACCAGGTGCTTGGAATGTGAGGCTGATGTCAGGATGGTGAGAGGGGAGTCCAGATGGTGCAGTGTTACTTTCCTTGCTTTCCATCTCTCCGCAGGTTCAAGTTCCATCCACGCCAACATGTGAAATGGGTTTTCAGTCCCTGCCAGATTGCATGGATTTTTCCCTGGAATAAAGTCCCAGAGTGTTCCTCCGACATGTTTATCTGAAACCAAATTTCATCTTTGTTTCGTCTTCTCTTTCTAGGATTCTGAACATGTTGGCTGCCGTACATAAGATCAAAGGGGTGTTCCCATTTGCCAATCATTGTATGCATGCAAGCACATTTAACAGGTACCTGAAGGTCTCTGTTTGAATGTGAGCATTTTACAGGTGTACACGTATGTCCTTACCACTGCCAGCAGCACACATATTTGTTGTGCCCTTCAGTGATGCCTGTGTGTCAGTTTCCATTGCAGTAGCCTTCCATTGCCTGCAAGTATACTCGTGGCAGAATCCGGTACACTTGCGACTACGAGTGTACTCGTTATTGGCAGTCACCGTGTTAAGTCGTTCAGGCTATGGTGTCTTAGCAACTGTGAAAATTCTTGTTTTTATTACCAGGTAGAATTGAAATTTAAGAGCGTTTGACGTGGTCAGATCATTGTGGCTGTAACGACCGCTTAACACTAGCGTCATGGCTGAGCATAAATTCCGAGTTCCTCTAACCACCCTTATGGTTTTTCTCTCCGCAGGCACACACCGATGAATGCTGGGGTCTTGCAATCCACCCCAACCAGAGCCTGTTCCTAACTTGTGCCTATGACAAGCATGTCATCATGTGGGATGCGGAGCAGCACCGCCCACTTTGGATGAAAACCATGGAGGAGGTGTGTACACATAGATGGCATATTGTGTTGGAGGCTACAGTTGGTTTCGCTTGTGGAATGGACAGTTATTTCTGACTGTAATTTTAAGAACATTTATATAGGTACCATTTTTGTCATTTGTAGTCATTGTGTCATTTTTCCCCCAAGATATGTAGGTCAAAATTTGTAACTTTTTCCCCGTTGACATGAGCTTAGTGCATGGGCAGGCATATGAGAATGTGAACTATAAATCACCATAACATCAAAACCGTGTGTTGGCTTGACTTGAAGCATCACGTATTTGCATATGATGGAGGTCTCTGTACACTTGTCAAGACTAAGAAAGATTGGCAACGGGAAAAGTGAGAATTTAAGCAGTGGAATCAACCCCCCCCACGAAAGTGTTCTTGCAAGGATCCTTCTTGAATCTTCCAAGATCCTCCACTCTGGGAAATACATTGTACTTGGCACTTTCCACATTCAGTATCTTTCAAGGGGTCTCAAGCCCCATGTGAAGAAACTAGTTGGACTTCACCTTCCTCAGTCCTGCACAATCAGTTTTTTAACGCCTTCTGGTGGATTTTGAAGGCGAATAAGCGTATTGAGTCATTGTCTGGACTTTGTTGCCTTCCTTCATAGGATCCCTGTCAGTCAGCCTGCTTCCACCCCAACGGTTCAGTGGTGGCCCTTGGCATGAAGACTGGGCGCTGGATGGTGTTGGATGCTCAGAACCAGGATCTTGTCACTGTCCACACCGATGGCAATGAGCAGCATGACATCATCAGATACTCGCCAGGTAAGGGCAAGTGTCATCATATGAGTCAGTGTTTCAATCATAGCGGACCTTGGTTAATGGTCTACTAATCCCCTTAACGCTGGCGCTTGGGCTATCGTTCTGAGCCATCTTTATGTCATGCACTCAGCGTCCAATATCACTGAGCTCTTGAGCTTGGATATCTGCTTCGCATAATAAACGTTTGTGTAGCAAAGACAGGTCACCAGCCAAAAGTCGTGTTGTGAGTATTTCTTGTAACTGGTGCTCTTCTAATTGCTGCTTCAGTACATGAATGTGCTTGCAGGATTTTCTGCTAAGCAGCTGTGTGAGACCGAGTCCAGATAATTCCGTTCGTTGCTCTTTTTTCTGACTACTTTTTACTGAATCTACTGTTACATATCCCTCCCAGATACAATTTATTTTGTTCTTTTTCAGATGGAAATTATCTAGCAGTTGCCTCCCATGACAACTTCATTTACATCTACGCAGTGACTGAAGAAGGACGCAAGTACAGCAAAGTTGGCAAATGCTCAGTAAGTACCCTGCAATATGAAGCACTGAAACAGCCATCAGCTGAGTCTGGGAAACATTACTTTTTAATCAGAGAATAAATATATGCTTGGCTGGTCTTAAACGTTCATTTAAGATGGGCTTAGAAGGATAGAGGAGAGCAATGCACGAGAGGCAGGCGAGGGCGTTTTAGGCGTTTAATCTCCTGAGCCAGTCTTCAATGTTAGTTTAAGACCACGTAAGCACATCTTTGTTCCCATTCACAAATACCTTTTTTAGTCAGAGAGTCAAAAGCTGTCAATATATAATGGGTTTCCAACATTTTTGTTCTAGAATTTTACTTTCATTTTTCGAACACCCTGGTCCATTTTATTTTATATTCCTTGTGTAAGTTGTCCAGTAGAATTTCCTTATATGGACTTTGGGCCCGTGTGGTGAGCTGTGTGCACACAGACTCTTGTCCAATCAGAATTGGTTAAACTGCCTCGTATCGATGTGCCAGCGCATGATTTACGTCGTTGAATAGGGAGACTGTGTAAGGCATTTACGAATGCATGATAAAAGGTTGAACCTTGGAGGCACACTAAGTGGATTTTGCCCAGTAAAAAATGTAATGCAGTGATCTCAGTGCACCAGTTTACCATGCGTATATGCATATCATGTGGTAAAGCCATTTCTGAAATAATATGCAGTAAATTTGGCAGGTATTGTGAAAAAGAGTTAGCCTGCATGTCACTGCAAAACAGATCGTATTATTCATTCACTGTAACATAATCATGAATTCATCATCGCAAATCAGCTTGTTGATTTTACAACCTACATTATCTTGAAAGACCACTGTCTAATACTGGCATTCACTGAAAGTCATCATAGGTTGTTGAGTGGGTTTATAGAAAATTGTCACTGTAAAATAGAAAACAAGAGAAAAAGAGCACTTGATGGAATCTTCCTGACCCACTCATAACTGATTGATAATGATCCAAGTTTAAGTTTGGGCAAGTGTGCCCTGTTTTTTTTCGCAAGCTGTGGTTTTGGCAAGGGTGACTATTATGTTTTGTGGCATGTGTTCCCACAGTGTTCTGTGAAAGTGGAGCCAAAAGAATCTTTAACTTGGAAGCTGGAGATCTATGTCTGAATTGGTCACAGGCTATGATAGACCTCGTTGATAAATGCAGTTATTTAACCATGCCAAAGAGTCAAAATAGTTTGAGATTGTTTTCTTTCGTATGCGTTGCCTGAGAATATTAACAAGATGATGGTTGAATGAAATAAAGCAAGCATTACACTGCAAACCATACGCAATTGTTTGGTCCATCTTTGCCTCGTTCACAGGGCCACTCCAGCTTTGTCACCCACATTGACTGGTCGGCTGACTCCAACTACCTGGTCTCCAACTCTGGAGACTATGAGATCCTGTACTGGAAGGCTGAGAACTGCCGCCAGATTCCCTCGGCTACCAACATGCGGGACACCGAGTGGGCAACCTTCACCTGTGTCTTTGGTTTCCCGGTCTGCGGTAAGAGCATGAGATTGGTTGCCGCAGCAGACAGCAACAAAAGCTAATTGTCCTCCTTTTTCCATCTTGGAAGAATGCTAGGAAAGGCAGACTGGTATTGTGATGCATTTTTTAGTTGACTGTCATTGATAGCGCCTCATATGAGTATTCGGTTGTGGAACCCAATGTTGTCACACACAGAGTCTTCAGAACTTTTTTCTCTAAGGTTCCTTCCGTACTTGAATGGAAGTTTCCTTTCATCACCTTTGCCTTAAAGAATATTCCATTGAACTGACATTTAGATACTCTCTCGTCATATTGTCTCCATCATGAATACAATTTCTGCAACTTTGACAATGTAACGTTGAAACTTTGAACCTTGTCTACCTTCCTTTGTTCAGTGTTAGTAATGATCTCAAGCATCTCTGGAATTGTTTGACCTGAAGTGATAAATTCTTATGGGAGTGGGATTGTCAAGACTTTCACCTGTAATTCACTGAAAACCTCTGTTCATTTAAGCATCATTGTTTGGGTTGGCATGCGAGGATAATGTAGGAACATTGAAACTTCAGACCATTTCAGGTGAAACATTGATTCAAGATCTCTGAGAGCTGGGTTCTGATTGGAAAACCCACTTCTTGTTGTTGTTGTTTTTGGCAGGGATCTGGCAGGAAGGAAGTGATGGCACTGACATCAATACTGCCTGCCGCTCTCGTTCTGGTGCAATACTAGCTACGGGTGATGACTTTGGCAAGATCAATCTCTTCAGCTACCCTGTCACCCAGCCTAAGGTACAAAAATGTAAAGCCAAATGTCGGCTGAGTCATTGCACTTCAGGGAATTATTTCTTTAAATGAAAGGTGGGGTGTGAATGTCAAGGAGCATACATCTGCAAAGTTTTAACTCGAGAACAAACATTTTATGATTATTGTCACAAGTATTTCACGTGTGGGCACCTTGCATTGACCAGTTGACACTTTACCAGAACTGCATGTCGAAGTTTTGTAAAAGTGGAGTCAAAATATGTGCGAGATGTCTTTCTACAAGTCTTTATAGGTATTCTATTAACAAAATTGTGTGTTGCGGTGATATTGGGGACAAAAATTACATTTGGACATCTCCTTGTTTTTTGTCAGGCTGGCCACAACAGCTTCCGTGGTCATAGCAGTCATGTGACAGCAGTGGACTTCTCCAATGACGACACCCGTCTCTTCTCTACTGGCGGCCGTGACATGTCCTGTATGCAGTGGAAGGTGGTGTAAAAGAGACAAGAAACCCACACCACCATTCACCAGAATGGGTTTTTCCCTCCCCCCGTTGAATTTTTTTTTGTCCTAAAGTGTTTTTGAGCACAGGTGACTTTGTTTGGTGTCCCACAGTTGTCTGATCCACATCTTTTGTATCATGTTCTGTGATTTTTCTCAACAAAAAAAAGCTGATCTCTACAAGTTCAGAAGCGTATTCATAAAAAAGAAAGTTTCATCAAATAAAATTTTTAATCTCAGATGTCCTTCTAGATGGTATATTTTCAGGTGTAATCACTGTAATTTAGATTGCTGGATAGGATTCTATTTAGATGTCACACCATTATTCTAAGTGATGTGATTCGGTGATAATTAATGGAACTCACTCAAGTTACAATTATAAATTGTAGAGGTGGTTTGTCCTTCATGTTTGGAAAGGGATACTTCGATGAGCCCAATCACTCAGCGTGGTGTTAATTTTACACTTGGAAATGTTACAAAATATCTCCACAGTCTTTTTTTTGTATTTTGCACTTCAGCACATGCACATCATTGATTTAACAGGGCTGCTTATTCTTAAAGCACGCTACGTTGAACAAAAATGGCATGTTCATGATGTGGTAGGCTTTTGGTTTCCATGGACATGTTGTCATAGTTCTCTCAGTAAATCAGGCCAGTTGAATGTGGCAGAAAAGCTTCATTTAGTAATGACTAAAGTGAAGTAACCTTTATGCCTAGCAAGGCCTTTCTACCAGTTGTACAGAGCCGAGATCACAGTGGGTGGCGAAAGCTGAATATAAGGTTGCTCAGAACTATGTCCTTCATTCTTGGAAGCCTTCTCTTTAAAAATCCGCCAGTTCGTATGTTTAATGTCAGTTTATTGGAGCAGTTGATCTTTATCCAGTAATTTTTTTTTAGTTGCAAGTACATTTAAATACAGACTACTTTTGTACATTTTACACTGTCTTTTCATTCATTTTGAACAGGTTTGTGGTGGCCGGTGTAAGTTTGGAATTTTTTTGCCAATGGAGAAGTAACAGCATTTTTAAGAAATAAAAAGAAAAGATGGTCAAATTTCTACTCTTGTAAAACACAAACTAAAAGTGAAAACTTTCCACTATTTTGGTTTAATGCTGTATCAGACTGGGTTGAGATGAACCTGTTTCAATAATCATCTAATGTGGTACCATAATTCCTCTTGGCTAATGAGTTAGACTCCATTAACAAGATGCTCATTACATGTATTTAGCAACTTTCATTTGAAAACTTGTCTTTCTTTGTACTTTCCCTGCTGCAGGGTTAATTGGCGAGGGATAGGAAGGCAGATTAAGTTGTACGTAGGCGTTACCTGTGAATGTAAGCCAGATAAGCCGCAGCCAATTTGTTTTACAATTTGGCTTACATCAGATCAGCTTAAAGTAAAAGGCAATTTATTAGGTTACAGTGCAAGTCAAATCCTCTAGAATGTGACAGAAGTTTCCCTCTGACCTTTTTCCTCTTCATTTTTGATTTGACACCGGCTATTGTGGAATTGTGGATGGATGTATGCATTTGCACTGGTATATTGGGAAGGCACAAAAATGGGTCTGTAAATTTGAGACTTTTGTTAACAATTTGGATTTGAGTTCATTTAGAATTTCGATACCCCATTCTGGATTTTTTTCTATAACTGAAAATTCACGGTTAAAGTGCCACGAGTGAACCATATAGTCCAGGATCATCTGACCACGAGTGAGTTTCATGAACAAAGTCTGCCTAGTGTCTCAGTAAGTTTTTTGCGAGGAACGTGTGATAACTGATTGTAAAGAGAATGGTGAGGCTACAGGAATCATCTAAGAAAGCACACAAAAAAAACCAAAAGCACGAATACAAAGGGCAGATTTCATTGAAAACTTTCTTTGTGTAGGGCACTGCCTCAAAACAGTTTTCACAGCATCTGATGGATACAGGTAGATGTAGTTGATAACATATAAATCCTGGGTACAGTATTTTTGAAAGACCCATCCAGAATAGCAATTTCATATTGCTAAAAGTTGAGGTTACTCCAGTTGACGGCATTCTGTTGTGTCTCAGTCGTAGTTCTTTTGAGACTGAACAAGCTTGAACAGACTTGTGTTCTGGGCTTCCTTTTTAAGAACTCTTCGTGCCCTGAAAGTTTAGTTTTTCTTGTTTTATCTTTGGTGTCTACCTCTGCATGGTTTCCAAAGTCATGACAAAGCATGAGGTAGGCTAGCGCGGGGTATGTGTTTTGATGGAACAGTGGATGGTTTGAAGACTGTCTTGATCTCTTGCTGCAAAGATCCAGTGCTTTTCCTGAAACACAGTGCAGGTCTGTATTGTGTACGCACGTGCCTGAAGCACAAACCTGAAAAGGTAGTTCCTAAGTAAATACTTTGTTCCAAATGAATAAAGGAAAAAGCTATCAACTGGAAAAATACTGGACCCAGGAAATAATAAAACTAAACTATGTAAGAGCTTTTTTGTAGTTCACAAGATGTGAAGTAAGCTTATAGTGTAAGATATTGAGATGTCGTACCACACTTCAGCTGTATTTTCATGTGGAGTAACCACTGTGGATCTGTATTTCTCTATGGACAAAATAAAGTATGTCAAACAAGGATGTGTTAAAAGTGTGAAGTCTCCTTGAAAGAAATGTATGGACACATTGATATTAGAAGGAACATGGGTTCCTTGGTGAAAAGGACTGTTCATAAAGTATGTAGGGGAGGGGGGTTTATATGCTTACAGCTTACTTTGCATTTAACACCTACGGGAACCAGCTTTTATTCATCAAAAATTGGTTTAACACCCCTACCCTGTAAATCCTGGTCTAATAAGTCGGGGGGGGGGAGTTGGGAACCGTAACAGTCTGCATTTGTGCATATGTACTTTGACAGCCACTAACATTCAAGTATTTAGAAAAGAGCCACGTAGATTTTTCAGATCAATTTTATTAGCCATCAGTAATTCCAGACTAACCCACAAATACAAGCCTACAGTCATAAACTTTGTAAAAGCACGGCTGTTCACTTTTCTGACAACAAAAACACTTCAACTAAGCTCCATCAAAGACACAGCATAAAAATCTTTGCAGGCAGTCACAATTTGTAAACGCATGTGTATACTTTCTTAACTTCCTCTGCAGTTTTTGCTGAAGATCTTTAAAATTAATTGCCTTTCTATGTAAGTACCCGAACCAATTCTCGATTCAATTTAGGACATATTTGTCCATGTAATCATTTTCTGCATAGCCATGGGTTTGGCTGGCTTTTTTTTGTTGGCCGCTTAAATAATATTTAAGATAAGGTAAAATACATTCTCAATATAGAAAATATAATAGCGAATTTTTAAAAATATGTGAATATATTTTATAAATAAATCATGCATTGTATCTGATTCAAGGTTAAAACATTAGAAAGTATGTCAACATTTAAATATTTCTTTAACATGATTATAGATAATTTGTGACGTACTTCAATAATTTCCAAACAGTGATTTGTTTTTAAAGCAACATATGTAAAAATATATGTAACTCAGTTGGTACACGTGAAGGTGTCAACAGCAAAGGTGTGCATGTGCATCAGAAATATATAAGTTACATGTCTTGCACAGCTTAATATTTGACCCACAGTCAGGCCTATATTAGGCCAATTGGCATAAATAGCATGATCATTTAATAGAACACTGATTTCCATGCAACATCTTTATATTGTCTCTTTCTCAGGAACTTCAACTACTGGTATATCTATATCAGCTGGTTACAGGCAACATTCGTAGATCTGCATAAAAACCTCTATGGCGCTATACAGTCTTTGATTACACCTGTCTTGCTCCATATACACTGTTAATAGCCTTTAATACTGATTACAAGGTCTATGCTGTCCTGTGTATGTACATTTAGGATAACTACATTGTGCAAAGGGACTTCCCACTCTGATTCATTGACGTGGTAGGAAAGCTTACAATGCACAAAAGGTTATCCTACCGTGTTGTGATTTTGCCTTGCAGAAGAAGTTACTCTCTTTATCTGACGTGTTTGTATGATGTAATAAAAACAGCTCTACTCACAAATATCTACTCCCAAATAACTACATGATAAAACTGATGGTAACAATACTATTTGTCTAGCATCAGCAAAATTAAGAATCTGTAGACACTACTACTATAGCAATATTTAATAATTCTAATATGCAAATGTTTTTTCTACACATCACTTCTCCCAGTCTCGGCCTGAAAACCACTGCTTCCATTGATGACACGTACAAAGACCTGAGCCGTTTAGCCTGGAAACTTGGTCAGAGCCTTGGGTGTACCAATATGATGAGACTTGATAGAAAGCAGACAAAACCAAAACTGCAAAACTGGACCACCCCTCAGGAGGATGCAAAACAGCTTAAGAGGGACAGGGAATGGCCAAAGAGGTAGAGAACAGCAAACAAGAGACAGAAAATAGGAAAGGAGCGACAGGCAATAGTTAACAAGGGACAGGGAGTAACCAGAGGAAATTAAACTCCACACATATAAACTCACTGTGCTACTACTTCACTGAATGAACCATAAACTAAACCAAATTTCAATGTCAATGTCGTTAGGATTTGACTGTTCAATAATGGGACCAACACTGCCTCAGTGGAGGACTTCAACCGAAAGGTCCGAGACTGGGTATCACAAGAGTAAAAACAGACGAATATTAAATATCTACATCGAAGAATGTACAGAAGCAAAGCAAATCAAAAACAAAAGTGGAATATGCCCCAACAGCCCCACCCCAAAAAAAACAAACTAAGGAATGATACAAATGCGATGGAGATACATCTATGTACAAAAATTACTTTGCATTATATGCACAATGCCAGTTAAGGCATATACGTTATTGTGACATTTTTCACAATAACTTAAACTACATACTGAGTAAGAGAAATCACTGTTATGCAGTGTCTGTGGTTCCTCTTATTTCTAAAAACTGTTCAGATTAATCCAGTGACAAGCCGTTACTGTGATGGTAACTCAGGCACGCTACATTTATGTTGCACACGTTCAGTTTCTACAAATCGAGGAATTTGGGTGCCTGCGACCTTTGATCAAGTGACGCTTGATATCACCTCAGTAACACTAATTGGATTCATCTGGAGGCTTTGGCTGCTGATATGATGAGATGCCTCTGGTATTACTCCATCATCTTGATACAAGATGACAAAGATTTGACTTGTGGTTCTCTAACGAAAGAAGACATCTATAATATGATTCACCAGCAAATGCACAGCAGCACTCTCACAGTATCGTGGGGGAGGGAGTCCCCCACCCACAACTCACTCAGTTTACTGGTTCCATCAACAGGAATCTGCTGATCTTAGGATAGCTTTTCAATCAGTATAGATAGAAGTGACAGGACATGAATGGTTGGTTTCTGGCATCTATTTGCAGGATGTAGCAAAGCCGGTTTACAGTACCTCACTTTGTTAGATAGCATCTAAAGAATTTGTGCAGCTTCAACCTAGCTTCACAGTTTACACTGCAGTGTCGGATCTTCTTGACACTTTGACTGCACATGCACTTTAAATCCTACGCTATTCAGTCCAGCTTTGTCCTCCTCTTCCCGTAACTGAGCAAGACAAGCTATCAACAACACAAATCTCGATTACCAGCTAAAACATGCTAGTCTCGAAAGTGATTGGTATCCTTTACTTGATGAATAGATAAGTAGTTCAGATTCAGTCCGGAATCCTGCGACAGGTGGAGGATTTAAGACTGTCTGTGTGTTAACCATGCAGTTAAGCTGGGTGCTATGTAACAGCAAAATTGGCATATCAACAGGCCTCACAAAACTTGCCTAAAACTTCTTCCTGCAAATAAGCGTAAATATCGTGCACCACATGCTAAGCCACCAATCATCACAGAACGGAGCATGCATGGTCACTTAAGTCACATCGTAGCATGTATCATTACTCTAGATGAATGTATTGGCACCAAAGATCGTATAGTGCAGAACAGAGGCACTATACAATCTTTGATTGGATATTTGCTAACCTTGTATTAGGCTCCTAGTATATACACAGATTCACCAAGGAATCATATCTCCCCTCTTAACCAAGAATCCAGTACCTCCTAGCGAGGTCATTAAGTGTACAGAGTTTTCCTTTTAATTTCATAAGAAGTTACAACCATTTATCATATTGTATTTTTTTAACGTTTATTTTATTCTTATATTTGTTTTGTTTACTTATATCCATTTTCATACACACATTTTAAATCATCAAAATGTCTTCCCAATGTGCAAGGCTTCCAGTACCTCTGTCGAGGTAAAAGAAAAAAGTTATGTACATTATTTTTGGAGGTCTGTTTTTCTGGTTTTTGTTTTAATTTTTTTTTTAGAATTTCTTATCTATACTTATATACTTTTTGTTTGTCTTTTTATAATTCAATATCAATGGGCAATATAATGATGGGTTACAAAGATTAAAGGTTTATATAGATGTGATTCTTGTCTTCTTATAAGAGCTAATGAAATTTTGCGCCAGGAACGTATGTTAATATTTAATTGTGTGTATGAAACATTGATGTAATTTAATAAACACCGCGCTGCTATATGTCCAACTTTCTTAGCATTTGTATAAAGCAAATAAGCTTCCTTAGGTGGAACTAGAACTCACAACTCCATGCTTGCTAGTGCAGATGTCTCAACCAGTCAACAACTCAGTTTGCAGGGTCAGCTAGCCGGTTCAACTCTGATACAGTGGTGATGTTAGAATTGTCTCATTTTGGGAGAGGTGTGGCTTTGTCAAACTAACATTTCCTAAATGCTTCAATCACGTGCCTCAGCAGACCTAGAACATAATGACATCAGGCTTTATCTACATGTGTGCTTTTCCAATTGGGGATCAATGGATTACGTCCTACCTCACTGCCATAGGAAAGTGCAAATGTAAACAAAGCTTGACATCATCAGGTTACAGGTCTATTGCCTGTGAGGGAAATACAATTGCACCTTGCGTCCTGAGGATACAGTAAACTGGAACCTGAGAGATGAAGAGAACTTGAAGGACAGTGTTGAAGAAAGTCACCAGCAGTGATTTCCCCTGAAGAGGCAACCATCATAGAGATGATCCATAAGGTCCGCTGATTCAGACAGACAAGGACTGTAGAGGGTGAATGAGTTCAAGACCAGGATATAGAAGATCCATTGGCCTGATGGGTGGGCTACGTATCACATACAAACTTATACATGTATATGTATTTATGCCTCACTCTTTGGATGTAGGAGACGACTACAGTTCTGGCCATTTCCAGCTTTGAGTATGAAGCACACTGAGCTCAAATCATGTAGAAAGTCTCAAGTTTGCATTTCAGTTTTCTTGTATCACAGCATACAAGTGGATAAGACATGTAAATAACTGAATAAATCAGGGTGTTGTCAGCCTTCTCCTGTTGATCTAGTGCACATGCAGTTAAGTTTGTACATCAACTGCTGTTGTTCAAATCTCTTCTCAGACGGCAGGCATTCAATCAAAGTATCTTTTTTAAGACTGGAAGATCTGGTTACACCTACGGACAATGACAGGCACACTGGTCAAACAACTAATGCCAGACTATTTAGTGTTTTTCCCAACCACACCTCTCCCTAGAGATAACAAATCTGCCATCTTGTTCTGACAATTACATAAAATCCGAAACTGCCTTTGTTTTTGCAAATGAAATTCTTTTCTATAGCAGGCTGAGGATACCTGCTTTTTTTTTCTTATTTTCATTTCTCTTTTGGATTTCAGAACTTATCCTTAAGTGAAAGGAGCATAGGATGTTTTATGACATTCAAAAATTTCACACAACTTTGCACTTTCCGACGTTGAGTACCTTCCGGGCTAATATTAATCGAAATCATCCTCTCCCCATCTAAATCACTGACTACCACAATATTTACCATGCAAATTGGCCACCTGTTCTCTGTAAACTGATGGTCAAGTGGCCACGACACCTGCACTAGTAAGCAAGGGGTTGTAGTTCCAATCCCTCCCAAGCAAGCTCATGATGTTTTTTTCACAAATGCTTGGAAAGCGCTAATTATACTGTGCTGGTGAGATAAAGTTGGCACTGGGCAAAACCTAATTCAGGAATGATATCTTTTTGTGGTTACTTCAATTATAAATCAATTATATATTGAATGATGTAGTTTCTAAAACCATCCGACTGTTTCTACATCAATTGGAACCTCAACAACTTTAACAATATTCAAGTCCATAGATACAATAAGCCTTTTGCGAGTTAACTTTGACCCAAATCTGGTACACCGAGTTCTTTAAATTCACGTGAACATAACAACTTGAATTATCCTTACTAAAACTACTGTTGCTATACCTCGTGATTTGGGGCAAGCTTTTGCTTAGTTACATACGAGACGCCTTGCAACAATATACTGTCCTCAATGGTTACAAAGGGCACAAAGGAACCAGTCCATTCCTGAGATGGTGGTCGTTATGTCAAAGCTTACCTGGAATCACGAGGTATAGCAACAGTGTCTTTAGTCTGGGGAATTCAAATTTTATGTTTATGTGCAGTCAGATAACTCGGAAATGGCTTATTAGATGTATTTACAGGTATGAGGCATGCACCTGATGTTGATACAGGCCTGCAATGTTATACATCCCATGGGCATACTTGGAGATTCGTACAGCACACAACAGTGAAGAGTAACTACCCACCAGGAAAAAAAAAGTCTTCAGTGACTGTCTGTGTCCCAACAAATGCACAAATTACACATAAATACAAACATCTACAAATTGTACACAAGTTTCACATGCATCTTTGCAGTATGGTTGCAACCTTTCAATGATTTGCTCGTCAGCAACAGCACAATTTTGAAAAATAGCGAGTGGCCCATGAAAAGAGATTAATTGGCAAATTCCTGATTAGAATTTCAAAAGCCATGGGCCAACTTGTCTAAAATGATTGTGGGCTGGTATTTTGATGGAAAAGTAGCTAAAACGGACCTTTAATTTCAAAGCTGATCAAAAATATAGAACAGAGGGCAGCACGCTTGCAAGAAGTCTGGGTCATACTTTAATAAGTAACTTTGTGAAGGACTTTTTGTCAATCCCCCCAAAATTTCTTTGCCCCCACTCTTAATGAGTAATCTTTTCAGTTACTGAGAGACAAAAAGATTGACAGTTTATTTCAATGCTCCGAGACAGGGTCATCTAATAGATATGTCCTTTTGGAATGTGAATACCATGCAATGTATTGACTCTTTCCTGATTCAATTAACTGTTGTTCAAACCAAGTATTCTGTGACTATGGCTATGGCTTATTTTTTTACATTTGTGCACCATGGTGAATAGCCACAGCCAAAAAATACTGCCCGCTTGGGACAGTCTTCATTGACAACCTAAGTTGGCAAGTCTCAGTCAAGACATATCAGAAGTGCTTGGTGTTCTTCGCACAAACGTCAAGGCTCTGTCATTCGCTTTAATACTTGACAGAACCTAGGCAATCTTTAATTGGTTGAAACATGTTCCTCTTCTTCCAAACTTCTTCCAATTGTGAGTAGGCTATGATCTTCAGTAGCAGTACTAGCAGATCCAGCAGTGTTGAAAGGGGAGCACCCCCTCGCCCGTCGGCACACTGTGAATGATTTGAATAAGTCCCAGGCTACCCATGGATGCCCAGCTCCCTCCCCCATTTATTCTTTAAGGTGTTTTTTGCCTCTTCCCCATTTCTTCTGCTGTCAGTTAGTTGTTTTTCGTCGCTATGAAGACAGAAACTGTCACCCAGATGACCACTAAAACCCAATTCAAGTGCTTCCCTTCCAGTTTAGTGAGCCCCCCCTCAAAAAAAAACTTCGGAAATGCTGAATCTACCACTGATCTTATTTTACCCACAAATGCTAACCCAGCTTGGCTCAACTGAAATATAGATGTGGCAGCGATTGCTTAGGCTGGTTGGTCGCTTTATATTAATGTGTGATTTTGAAAGCTTCAAACTGAGCTCAAATCCAACCCTGAGATCGCAAAAACAGCAAGGGGACCTCAGTGAATTTTCCTTTCTACTTCATGCAATAAAAGTTTGGTTCACACTCCATGCAAATGAAGACTGGATAAGACTCACTACCAAGTGAAGTCTGTTTCAGAATGATTCTGTGCATGCACCACGACAAAAGTTGTAATGCTGGGTGTGCCGAAATGAGCTTCACGTACACCACTGTCGTCAGCAAGCAGACTGACGCAACTGCACAAATTTTGGCTTCTTAACATTTGCATGATGTGCAAATTAACTTTTTTGATTGGAGCCCAGCTGCCACAGGACACCTCAGAATAATTTCATTGTGGACAGCACAAGCATTGCTTCCTCCTAGTCCCTGGGCCTTCTGTCAGTTTTCAGCGGCACCGTTTGGTGCAGCGTAGTTGTCTTCATATACAGGACTCATTCTTCGGTTTTTGGAGGGAGTAGGAGAAATGTTAGGATGGGGATTTCCTTGGCCCATTTTGGACTTCACAGCTTCAGTAATGGGGAGGGGGAGGTAAGGTTCAGAATTTACTTTAAAATATAATTATCTACAAACTTGTTTTACATCAAAAAAGGATATCAGCTCACATGCAAGCTTATGAAGGATGGATTTTCAGACGTGATGGAGCAAGAACTCATGCCTTTACCCCTACTTAAGCTGATGAAGGAGACAAGGATGGATTTTCAGAAGCGACGGAGCAAGAACTCATGCCTTTACCCCTACTTAAGCTTAAGAAGGAGACAAAGATGAATTTTCAGATGTGATGGAGCAAGAACTCATGCCTTTACCCCTACTTAAGCTGATGAAGGAGACAAGGATGGATTTTCAGATGTGATGGAGCAAGAACTCATGCCTTTACCCCTACTTAAGCTGATGAAGGAGACAAGGATGGATTTTCAGATGTGATGGAGCAAGAACTCATGCCTTTACCACTACTGTAGTTGGGAAAAAAGCTTGAGACCTGGGTCAAGATGTAACAGGAGATTTAGAAATGGAGGGAAATGAAGGGAAAGGAACTTTTAAATGTTTCCATCTGCATTTTATGTTTCAAATGAGATTAAGGATGAAAATCCAAAAAACATCCTGGTGATAGGTGTAACAATGACAGCATTAAAATACTGTATTTGACTATTGTAGGGCTTTCCATGACGAAGAAGGGGTCTTTTCTCTCAAAACGGATAAATCTTCTGTCTGAGCCTTGAACATGGTCTTTTATACAAAGCAGTAAAACCTGCAAGATTTAACCTCAAACTTTTGGAGGTCAACAATCCTGAGATCCAGAAAATCCTGACAAATCAGACAAAATGACCAAAGCCCAAAAGGGTAGGACAAAACAAACACAAACAAAACAATTGGAAAGAAAGACAATCAGCAAACCCAGTACCATGGGACATTGATTTAAAACATTGGATTCTGTGGTCACATCGCAAAATGTCTTCACTCATAGCCTTCTCCCAATTTGCATGCATTGTCATAAGACGTGATTCAGAGGTGACAGTTGACATGATATATGTGTAATGGTTGCCAAAATAATGGTTTCCAAGTGATTAACTTTTTGTGACATCTCAGGACACATGGTCCATACATTGTCATAGCATGTACATCAACGTGTCACAACCTGGAGCTGCGTTGTGTGCATATGCATGACGATGACAACTTCAAATGAGTTATCTTGGTAGTTGACCATGTAATCGTGTTTCAAGCTCTCTCCTCCCAAGAGTCAGTGTTTGAAGCTGTAACACACTGCCAACAAAGTTGAAATTCCAGGGCCAATACTGAATGCTGACAAGTGCAGGACTTGAACTGCCCACCCGCAGGACACAGTACTGGTGCTCTACCAGCTGTCATTTCTAACCCCTTGTTGACAGTCTCTTGGTTTGTCAAATAGCCTCTAAGAGTGACAGGTGTCCCCATGCCAAAGCTAGCAACACACCAGGAGACTGCCAGCACGGGGATGGATAGCTCAGTTTGTTGAGGGCCTGCACAGCGTGCAGCAAGTTGGTGGTTAAAATCCTGCCCAGTCTCTGTTCTTCTCAAGCATGATCTTAACTCCTCTGCCGTGTACAAATATTCCATGCCCTATCATTCATTAACTAATGAGGAAAGGGGGTGCCATGAGGGCCAACCCCCCTCCCCCAATTTGGTTGGGTTTGAAAACATCAGGAGATTTTTTCATTTCCATTCCTCCCCAAGCACTTCTCAGACAGGTCCTAAAGTGCTAAATAACAAAATGTCCAAACTCCCCTCCTTCCATAACTTGTCCTGGGTCTGCCCCTGAGCACTGCTGCAATATTCAGGACTAATAAGCTGGCTGGCACTGTGCTGAGAAAATATGGACTGACCTAAAAGGCTTTAGTACGTCTCCGCATGATTGGTGTGTTGGGTGTACATGTATCAAATGCCTTGTGCATTGTGAGGACCCCAGACCAAAGATGTGTGTGGCTAGACTCCCTTATTTGAATTTGTGAAGAAGAAAATGGCTGTTAATTTTGGATAAATATTTTGAAAGAGCATCAAAGTGTCTACATGAATGGCACACTTAGCTCCCATTGCCACCTGAAACAGGGACTAAATCCTGTCCCAGGATCGAAATCCAACTTTTAGAGACCTTGAAAAAGAACATCGTATTATTTCAAGCTAAATGGAGTTCAACCCCACTCAACAAGCACCTAGTCTAGGTAGGCAGCCATGCCTAACAAAACCCACCAAATTCCAACACCTCATTCTAGATGGTTTTGAGTCAGTCACATGGACACACCAGGTGTCACAACGTGGTGTCAGTCATGGCATTCTAATTTTGTTCACCGTATGTGTAATTTTTTGCAGGCAGCATTTGCAATTTGGTAAATCCAAGAAATACTCTGGTGAAAAAAAAAAAAAAAGTTTAGAGGGTAAGGTTGATGGCCTCTCTCATTCATAAAAATTACCATTTTTCACTTTTCCATCTTGAAAACCAGTCAAAAGAAGTAGCTTCGATCTATCGGTGCCTTTCAAACTATCATGAACTGAGTAAAATGAGGTAAATTACAAGAGCCAGAAAAATCCACATATACTTGCGAGTCCAGATAAGACAACATATTTGAAATACAGAACATGCTCGATGAATTTGTCCTCCAGAGAAGAGAGATCTCAAATTTATACCAGAATGTGTGCTCAGTGGAATAAGTTTCGGAAAAAGTCAGAATATTGATTCAAACCTGGGAGAATTTTTAAGACTTCAATACGTGTTATGTTATAATGGATGATTACGCCTCCTTGTAACCTGACAATTTCGAGTCCATTTTGAGGGTAAAGTTATTATTCTTGGGTAGAACTTGAAACTGAGTCTACAACATTCTGGACTAGTCCAAGCCTTACTCGCTTGGTGCACTGATCACCCCAAGGTACTTTTTGTTTTTAAATAGCAAGAACCTTTTTTTTTTAACCCTTCAAAATCCTTCGCTGTGCAGGAGACCAATAATGCAGCATGTCCAAACACGTCAAAGGAAAAGTTCTATGCTCCATGAAATCCTTACAAAGAAAAATCTCCCAGTGGAAGAATCGAGGAGAATTAAGGCACTAAATCTAAGAATTAGGAAACAAGAATCCTCAGAGCGAAGACAGACTTCAGAGAAGGTAGATTAGCAGTGGCATTTTCCTTAACTTCTGTCAGTTAATATCCACCAAATCGTGATCTTGTCTTGACATCTAAGCCTCTTCTTGACTGACTGGAATCAGGGTTTAGTTCACAAGATGACCAAACTTGCTATCCGGGCAGAGGTGTCGTATCTTGCTCTCTAATGGATGTGAAATTCAGGAAGTGCTAAACTGGCAACAAGTTTCTCATACAATCTGTGCACATTGACTCCAAAACTAAAATAAGTGTTTTACAGTGCACAACAAACCGAGGGTTATACACCTGAAACAGTTCAACAGCATTTAAAAAAAATGTGTTCACATCTTTTGGTTCATTCAGGAATGAAAGTTTGATGGGGCATGTTTAAAACCAGAGACTAGCATGGGGATAATAAATGACCTAGATTTCAGCTCAGTCCAGTATTATCCCAAGCCCCAGGCTGGTTTTTAAAGGAACTAGTTTAAAAACCACGCCATCATTCTTTATTCTTATATATATATTTTTTGGAAAGGGAGTGAAAGTCAAAAGTTCATATAAAGTGTCGGGCCAATCAGAATTTGCCAAATTAGCAGTTGCTTGAATTGTACACTACGGTCGGTGATGTTGTTGATACAGCGGACCTACCTGATTATGCCCATCAAAATCAACAAACAGCCTTACTGATTTCGAAGATGGAAAAGTGAATGGTCGAGAGCATATATGTATTTAATTTTAATTACCAACCTGTTGACACTTATCTGCAAACCATTAATAGGCACTTCAAATAATTGGAGTAATAAGTGTGCCAAATCAGGGAGTCCAGTCATGCCATATAGATAACAGAGGCTTCTGCACGTTTTGAAACTAGTCTGGTCTTTGTTAAGTATGATTGCCTGGATTTTCTTTTTTGTGTGTGTGTTTTTTGCATTCTAAATGTACCCTGCACTCCACAGTGAGTGCAGTTAAAGTGATGTCTGAATGTTCGTGTGAGTAATGTGAGTACATTATTTGATAACTTGACCACTCCTTACAAGCAGACTCTCATATTAGAGATGGGATGGTGCTGAGACAACACAAGCTTTGGAGAGGAAAATGGGTGAAAAAAATGATGGAACACAAATGGAAATAGAGCAGGGTCAAACAGCCTCGGTTTCCCAAATTTGACTAGTAACACGACCACACTTGAAAAATATCCAGTGTAAAAAAATCATGCAGTGAAGCGACAAAAGCATGTGGGCTCTTTCAACAAGGCAACTGTTATTTGAATAATTTCTATTCTACTTTTGAGCTGGAAAAGAACTCAATCAGCATGACAATAATTAAAAATAATCAAATAAAAAGCAAAGGAGAAAAAAAATGCTATTTTTTAAACTTCTATTGATATTTTGAGCTGGAGTTGCAGAGTTTTATTAATGTAACAAATTCAACGAGAAAAAAGACAAACTCTTCACTTAATACTTAACTCCTAATTGGATATACAGGGTTATCTAAAGGGTCCATTGCAGCCTAAGCATAGATGCTAAACAATGAGAACAAAGACAAGCATTTTACTAAATACCTAACTCCTGAAAGGATATAAAGGGTTTTCTAGAGGGTCCATTACAGCCGAAGTATTGATGCTCAAAACATGACAATTTATCCCCCATGGCCCTAACTGTTTCCCCAAACCTCTGTCAAAACCCAAGAATGAGTCCAGACAATTTAGACTAGGGCTTCACCACATCGGAGACGTCTACAATCACCTTTATGAACATGACATTATCCTTGACATAAGCAGGGTCGCTCAGCACTGACTGGGAGACAAACAACGGGCAGCCCGAGGCGATGTTCATCTCGGTCGTGGGCCGGCCGAAACTGGACGAGGCAGGATCCGGCCGGAAACTGTCCGACAAGTGGCGCCGGCCAGTGTCCTGGTCCAACAGCATCAGAGTAACCTGGGAATGAAATAAATGCACGTATCAGGAACCAACACAGGGCTCAAATTGTATTCATCATCTCCTGAAAGAGAACTACTGGTTTAGGAGACCATGTGCACACACGTGTAGGGTAATCTACAGAAAGCCCTATAAACCTCCTGAAGCAATGATCAGGCCAAACTAGTGTTGTAGAATCCAAGGCTAGTTATTTCTGCTTTTGAGTCTCAGCAGCCTGTTATCAGTCTTGCTATTTTAACCCTGTATACATTGTACATTAATCTTGTGTTTCACTGTCAGTTCTCGTTGAGGACCTCAAATTCGGACTCCTTCAAGTCTCAACACTGGTCGTCCTCCTCCAAGTAAGTCTTGGTTCTCCAAGGAGTCAGTCTTGGTCTTTCAGATGTCAGTTTTGGCCGCAGACTTGAAAGTCTCAGTCTTCAAAGTCTTAGCATTAGCCTTGGTCCTTCCAGTCACAGTCCGTTATTCCAGGCATCGGTCTTGGTCTTCCACATCTCAATTTTGGTCAAGGTTCTTTATCTCCATGTCTCTGTCCTCAAAGTCTCAGCATTGGTCTTTCCAGTCAGTCTTTGTTTTCCAAGTGTCAGTCTTGGTCCTCCAAGTGTTAATCTTGGTCCTCCAAGTGTCAATCTTGGTCCTCCAAGTGTCAATCTTGGTCCTCCAAGTGTCAGTCTTGGTCCTCCAAGTGTCAATCTTGGTCCTCCAAGTGTCAATCTTGGTCCTCCAAGTGTCAGTCTTGGTCCTAAGTGTCTCAGTCTTGGTTAAACGACCTTCAGGTCTTGGTCTTAGTTCCTCTCTTGAATTTCAGTTTGTCTCAGCTAGGGTTCTTCAAGTCTCTGCATTCTCAATCCTTTGGGTTTCGACTGTAATACTGCCAGAATGCTCCTTGTTTGGGCAAGTACAAGTGTGCGTGTCTCTCAAATGGTGGAAGTTTTTTTCTTCTTTTCAAGTTCCTCAATTTGGAATCCAATCCATTCCCCTTATCACTTCCTGCAATGAAATGCAATGTTCCATCCTCATTGTGTATGCACTAGCATGAGTAAACATCTAAATGCTGGAATACACTGACATTCCTAAGCTGCTGCTAGAAGAAACAGCATGAGATCCAAATCAGAAGAGGTTGCCTGAAGATAAAGAATTTCAAAGATTCAGATCTAGTGTCAAAAATTAGTTTAAAGCATATTATGTAAATTCAATATACACCTTTGAAACTACTCAGGGTCACCCTTGCAAGCAGATTATCAGGATATTTGAACCCACTTTTAAAAATCTTTGTGCAGTGTTATCAGTGTCAAATTGTTCGATTCTTTATAAGCTGGGTCAAAACCAGCCAAAACAATGCATTTTATTTTCAAGGATGAGAGTGGAGCATTAAAACAAATATCTGAAAATAGCTGAACTGCATGAGTAAAGAGTGAAGCACATACAATGTAGGGTCAAGGGCCCACTTAAGAGCCCCAGAAAAATGTGAAATGTAGATGCTCTGGGGTGCATTTTACGGCCTCCTGGTGCCACCTGTGGTGATTGTTTCTCGCAACTTATGAATATTTTCAATTTAACTTATTTCCTTTTTACTGGCCCAAAACTTCCTTAAGGCTGAAATGAACAAGTTACAGATATACCAAAATTGTACAAATCAAAGTTAAGAGTGAGAGTTGGCCCTTTTCCCACTGCAGCACTTCATGTTGTCCGCCTCTTTAGTCAGCAAAACAGGCTGTTTCCATGTTTCAATTCTTTGTTAAAAAGAATGCACCTCTCATGTCCAGGATTTGGGATTTTTGAGATTGTGTTGCCTAATTTCTGCCCATCCACGGTGTACTACTCCAACCACATCCACGGTACTTCTGAGGATTTGTAACTTGATAGGTCTTGTTAATGTTTGTATCCAGAGCCTCTTTGGACTATAATGCACCTCTGTTGCACTAAAATTTTAATGAATTCACAAAACCAAATGTAAAAGACTTCCACCTACCTTTTGACGGAACGGCCAGGGTAGCAATGCATCACAGTCACCTCTCATCACGACAAAGAAAAGTGAGACATGGGTCCCCTTTCCCATGCCGTCCCCGTTCAGGTAGATGCGGGCACACATCTTGTACCCATAGCGGCTGGTGTAGAACGGCTGGCTGTAGAGTGACAGGGTCTTTCCAATGTCCGCATCGCGCTTGCGACGGGCAAAATCCTTGATCTTCCAGAGAAGTGTCCCGTCATGGCTGGCTGTTTCTAAGACCTGGAACCGCAGGTCATGCTCAGCTATGCGCACTGCATGCATGCCCATCTGGTTCTCCATAGTCGTCAGGCGCGAAGAGCTTGCAGCTAAGGGGTCAGTTAAAAGCTAAGGTTAGTCAAAAGCAAGGTCAACCAGAGCCACAAATGCTTCTTTAAGGCTTGATCATCTCATTCTGTAAACCTGGTAGAGTTCACAACTTTGTTGACATAATAGTTAACTCGGACTTGGATGTGTCACTTTATAACAGTAGTAAATCTTTTGGGATGATGGTCTTGTTCCTACACAACAGTGACTAGCGTAGACTTCTCGTTAGTCTTTGTTCTGCATAATTCACTTCTTTTGTTAGCTTTCATATCTGCCGTTTTTTTTTTTAATTGCAGTAGAGCAGAGTAACATTATATAAACAATGAACTTGACACGAAAGACATCCCTTCCCAGCAAAAAGACATCTATCACATCCCATCCTATTCATACATCCCAAAGCTCATATCTCATTATGTACCCCTTCTCTTCCCATAATTATGTCATTCCATTCCAATATCCCATCCATCCCATCCCATGCATATCCCCTACCCCATCCCACAGCCTGTTCTGTCCAATACCCCTATCCCATTCCATCCTAATATCCCCTACTCCATCCCATTCCATGCATATCCCCTACCCCATCCCACAGTC